TCCCCAGGAGACACTACCACTTATTACACTTAGATTCCGTCCTCGACCCACCCTGACACCTCCCTAATTTTAGTGGGCTTTTCAATTGCGGATATTCAGTTAAATTAAGTCAATTAAATTCCTTAATGCGACAGAAGACATCTGTTGAGCTGTGCTATTTGTGCGAAGCTGTGGCAAGTGGCTTCGACATTTAAGTTACTTGAGCACGAATTAGCAGATCTCAGAATAATATCATCAGAAGTGGCGAATTTGTGTTAGAACGGAGAGGGATTAAGGCTTTAAGCTTTCCATGTTAGTTGTGGTAAAGATACACAGATAGTTCTGGTTTCAAGTTACACCCAAGTCTTGCCTTTGAAAGTAAGAAGGTACTTCCACTTAAGGTTGGTATTTTCTACACTGGTTAGGGTAATGACTCTCTAAACTCTGTGAGAGAATAAGGAGCAGATGCCATTTTTCAAGAGGAAGGGGAAGTCGTGTTTGGAGAGGTGGAAGGCTTCTTGGCACCTTTTAAAAAAACGGTCTCTATCTAACTTCTGAGAATGTCCATTTTCCACCCGCTCATTTGATGGTTTTGTAACACCAGGGAAAAGTGAGGTGGCCCGAAGGACCTCTGTTTTCTACAGGCTACAGGGCAATAATGACTTTGGAACTTGGAACTATGGTTTAGCTAATTTTTTATGCTGTTTGTTTATAAATAGAAGTAAGAGGGACTATGTTCCATATCATTGTTTTAAAGTTTTCCTGAAATGTTTCCTGGTTTATACATGAGGCAACCAGCTTTAGAAACTCTCTGGTAGGAGTTTGCTAGTATAAATTTAGCATTACTTATATAGATCTAACACTGAAGAAGCAATTAGCTGAAAATCTCTTCATTCGATTCAGTTCCTCTAAGTCTAGATTTAATTCAGAAATTCTGGATAGGAGAGAGGAGAAAAAGAGCATCCAGTGAATTTCATTAATTTAGGGAAAAGAAGTATCCTTTTCGTTACAGTTCGCATGTAATTAGACAAGGATTGATGTCACTTTTTCTAGTTCATGGTATAAAATCACCAGTTAGAAGAATTACAGTGAGGCTTGACTATTTCATGCCACTCTTCATCATCACAATCCCTTAGAATGTGCAGTGTTTACCTCCTCTTTTTATTACTTCCTCTAAAAGAGTAGGTGTTCTATAAATAGTTGTAGATAGAGTTGATATTTAGTAAATTCTAAATATCAAGACCAAAGAATTAAAAACTTATACAGTATCAGAAGTTTAATCAGAGAAGCAGTGACATGTCAATTTATAGCAAATAAATCATATCTATTTCCCTGTTTAATGATAACCAAACCAGAATTTTGCCGAGACATCATCTGTTAGAGTGTAAAAAAAGAGAACATAATCACTTATAATCTCTTTTTTTCTTGATTATTTTGTGGCCAGTGTTTCTGTAATTCACAGTGTTCCCCCCCACCACCTGCGGGGGCGGTGGGGGGGTGGGAATGGCTATTGCTGGGCCATAGATGATTGTGAAGATTTTATGACTCAATATTATTTTTACATTTTACATGTGGCTGGGACACTGGGGAAAACATAGTTTTATCACAAATAAAAGGTTGACTTTTTAAAGTAACTGTATTATTCAGCTAACAAAAGACATGAGTGGAACAAGTTTTCCTTATGTCTTAATAATCCGTGATTAAACGTTGAGGGGGGGTACTTAAGTAAATCTCTTTCGTTGACTTCTTTCTCCCAAAGGAAACCTAGAATGACAAAGGAAATGCAAGCTGCTCTAGCCACTTGACTTGCAAATCAATCTGGTCTGGATTCTAACTGGGAATTACGTCCCAGTAAAAAGTATAGGGCCGGTGTTAAAACAACAGGGACCAAAGCAGGAAGCTCTGCCATGGGCAGTGAAGGACTACAAAGCTGTGCGTCAGGAAAAAAAAAAATAAATAATTTGGTTAGATATACTATGGGGACAACACAGCAGCTGCAGGTCAGGTGTCGCTGTGTCTCAGCATAAAGATCTTAACTACCCCAACCGACTGCATCCAGCTTGACCCCCATTTTCAAAAGCTTAGATAAACTGTGGAGCTCTCCTGGTATGTGGGCAGTTTTTGTTGAATAGAAGGGCTATTAAGGGGGAAAAAATTGTCAGATGGAACACTGTGCTCTCTTCAGCGTTTCTGGGAAAGGAAGTAACAAAGAAATGAATCCATCATTAATATTATTTGCAACTTTGACCCAACATTTTCAGACTATAGCTTTACAAATTATCCTCTTTTATAGACCTTATTTTTTTTTTTTATCATAAAACCCAATCAAGTTCTAGGGTGGGGAAAAATACAGTATTTATTAATGGCCGTTGCCTAAAATCTGTCATTCACCAGGGTGTGGTACACATTTTGTGTGTGTGTGTGTGTGTGTGTGTTATGGGAGTATTTTAATAGGTAATTTGTATATGTAGTTTGTGGGAGATGTTTAGGGGTTAGATTATATGTATGAAAATTTGGAATGGAAATCGTGTTTGGAAGGTTAATCTTTCTGTGCACAGTGACTTTCAACCCCAATCGGACAGATAGGGGAAAGAGCTCTGATTTTTTTGTTTGCCTGTTTCTAGGTTAAGCATCCTTTTGGAAATGAAGCTACAAAATAGAGACCTAGCCAAACGAACAAGTAGGCATCAACCTTCTTGAGAATACAAAGCTGAACCAAATTAAGTATCTATCCTTGCAGAAACTGGGCGAACATTCTACCCTTCAACTTTGCCCCAGCCAGGGTCACTTCTCCCCCTGCCCTACCACTGCCACAGTCTGTGTTCCAAGATATGCTGACTGCTTCACGAGTTAATACTTCAAGGGCTTGTAACAGTCCCGCAAATAGGGCACATGTGATTTTTTTCACATGCCTAAATGAAGGATCAGTAAGTAGCCTCTTGTCACTTTTCTTTGGGCCTGTGCTCTTTAGATTGTATTGATAAGGGAAACAATTTTGGAAATCAAGCACTAAAAAGTGTAACTTTGTAGACAACATGAGATATACTACGGAGATTTGAGCAAAACCCTAATCTGATTAACCCGAAGGGCTTATCATTCAAGTGTCACATCCTTGCCCTCATTACTGCTACTTCCATAAGGACAAATCCAAAGCTCCTTTAATGTTAACACTCATGGTTATAAATTTGGCCCCCTGGAGGGGTAGGGACAGGGCAGGAACCAAATGCACAGTGGAAGAGCTGCCAAAGAAACATGTTTTCCCCAAGTCAAGTTTTAGTAGAAACGTTTCCATTGGAGGACTTTCTCGAGATCAAACATTTTTAAGCTCAATGAAACAAAATAGTATTTTTTAAGGAATTGAGATCTACAATATATTTATATCCATATTTCTAAACACCTAAGTCTAAAAGACATAAAAATTAGCGATGCAGTCACTAAATAGCAAGGCATGTCCACATTTCAAAGAGGTATAAAATGTGAAATGATAGAACAACAGAAGGTCGAAAATAGGAAACAGACTTAGCATAGTCATATTGCGTTGGGGGGAAAAAAGGTCGAACACACTATTTAGGTAAATTAATGTACAGGAAAACGGGATCTTAGAAGTCCTCCGACGAACCAAGTGCAGATAATCTAAAGGTGGGGAGTGCATGTTTTTAATTTCTATCTGTCCCCTTTAATAAGAGAACATGAGGTAATTAGAAAGTATTCAATGCATTCTGGACTGTTCTGCTAATTGTCCCAGGCAAGAGAAATCAAAACGCTTCAGAAAAGTAAGGCCTAGTTGAGTATTTGGGTAGAGGCCCCCCCTTCAATCAGCTAGTCACTAAAAGGAAATCTCCTTATATATTCATTTTGTAGAGATGGATTGATCACGCTGTAGAAAAGGCTGGTCGCTGAGGATGTGTCTCTTCGAGGTTTCCTCTGCCTCCTCTGCTTTTACCGAGTTAGGTCTTCAGAGTGGCGAAGGAAAATAGGTCATTTTTCCTTCATAAAGTATCATTGGATGATTCCTCTATATTAATTATATGAACCTTATACTAGTTACAGATTTAAAAAAAAATTTTTTTTTTTTAAATTTTCATCTCAAAGGGTTCTCAGTCCCCACCCCTCACAAGGTACCATGAAGGGGCACTAAAGTGCATTTGGATGTAGGGGAGTAGAGTTTAAAGGTGCTGTCCAAGCTAAGAACCAAGATGATGCCGTTTAAAAAAGAAAGGCAATTCCTTCTACCTCCATCTCTGTGGAGTCAACTGAGGGAGGGCAATGACTGGACCCTCACCAGAGGATTGTCCTAACTCTTAACTTTAGAGAAAACTGTGTAAGGACCTGCACATATAGACTCATTTATTTGTCCAAAATAGCAAAAATAGGCCTATTTCACCCTTAAGAAAGTATTTGCAAATCTGATCAGTCATGATCATAAAAACGTGAATGGATTCCAGAGGCAATCCATGTGGGCGTGCTCGGTGGTAATGTGTGTCTTCAGCTTAAAAGAACATGCTGCTGTTCATTTTCATCAAAACGTGACTTCTAGCTACCATAAATAAAATACACATGGAACGGTTAAATCTTTTTCTTACAATAATTACTTTTACAGTAAAAAGTCACCGTCATCTTCAGATTTATCGAAAATTAGGACTCTAAATCTTACTCTTTCCCAGTCTTAGTTAACAATCTTGCACAGGCCCGATAATCCAAAACTTGGAGCTCTGATCTACACAGCTTGACAGGTTTCACACAGTTTGACAGGTAGGCAACTGCGAGATAGGCTTTTTTTTTTTAAATTAGCATTTTTCTATCAAAACAGTCGGAAATCTTTTAAAATCCTCATAGAGACTGTATTTGTGCAATGCCACAGTCACGCAGCTAGAAAGGAGAAAACAAAATACAGTCAGGAAGATTCACCACAGTCCGGGTTTTTCTTGGTCCTCAGTTTAAACCACCACGGGGCCCAGGAAATCCGATGAAATACAGTGCTTTCCATGAGAGAAGAGGCGGTCCCAGAAGCATTTAGGCTACTACACGGGGACCGTCTCAACCACGGGTGATTTGATGCACTCTTCGTGCAATCTGCTCTTTTCTGCCAGACTCAAAGAATTTTCCGCAGGGTGCTCTGAAATGCGACTGTCACCATTCAACGTGGAGACAAACCCTTCCTGGGAGGGGCCTTTCAAGTAGGAGTGGAATTCCACTTGAGGGTGGTTGGACCTGTGCTCGGGGTATAAGCTACTGCAGGGGACGCCGCTGTCGTTTTCGGCAGAGGAGCAGCAGACGATGACAGAGGGGTTGGCAGCGGGGTAGTGGGAGGCGCCGTAGGCCTCCTCAGCTTGGCGGGCGTAGTCCACGAACTGCTCCGGGGTCATGGTGTAAGGCACCAGCGAGAGGGTACCGCTCTTCACAGGATCTCTCTCGGAGTAGCTCTCGGAGATCTGGCTAGGCGTTCCCGGAAGGTGGCTATCGATTTGGTAATACAGAGTCGAAGAGTTGGCGTAAAAAGAAGCATTCTTCGCGTGGCTCTCGTGGACGGCCGTGCCGTCGGAATAACAGAGGACGGAAGGCAGAGGGACGACCTCCGCACGGGGACCCAAACCTTCCACGAAGCTGTCCCCCTTCTCGTCGTCCTCGTCGTCCTCCTCCTCCTCCTCTTCCTCCTCCTCCTCTTCCTCCTCCTCCTCGTCTGACTCGCTGGGCGCCAGGCTCTGCGTGCTGGAATCCGTGACCCCGCTGCAGAAGCTGCTGCCGTCCTCCTCCTCCTCCTCCTCCTCGCCTTGGCAATCTAACTCCTCGGCCGACTGCAGGTGCAGCACCGCCGCCTGGGGCTCCGTTTCGATCTCGAAATTGTCTGCGATGGAGTATTCCACGGAGTGCGCCACGGGGCCCATGGAGCTGCTGTGAGCGCTTATCTCGCCGTGGCAGCCGTTCAGCGTGGGGATTTGCTGCTCCCGGTTTTTCTCCAGTTCAAGTTTCATGATTGTGTGCAAAAAGTGAGTCCGGACACGGATCGGATTAAATTCAATTCTACCTGCTGTGTTACTACATCCTTCTTTAGTGCAGCCGCAAGGGAAAGACATTCGGTCCACCTTGGAAGGAAGAACACAGATTAGCCCCGTGGAACTCTCACCGACCACGGAAAACGCCAGTACCGCTCCGCAACCCCTCTGAGTCTGGGATGACTTAATCCCACTTGCGCCAGAGCAAATGACAAGCAGGCTGCAGAGAAACCAAGAGGGGAAGTGAAGACTTCAAACGAGGGAGTCAACCGGGGTTTAAAACCTGTATTCAAATTAAAAATGAGTTCCGGCTCTAAGTATGGAGTTTTAGTTCACTGACCCCCTTCCTGTGCTTTCTTCTTTCTTTCTACCGTCCCCCCGTCTTTTGCTCCCATGATTTCAAAGTCGCTCCTTCCCCCAGGCTCCCTTCACTTCCACTGCATGAGGGCTCACACGCCCGATTTTAAACACCAACTTACTGCCCCCATCCCTTGCCTGCTATGTTTAAGCTAAATTAGATGACATTTTCCATACTGGCCAACCCCATCTTCTTGGCTTATTATAAAACGAACCTTTTGCCTGACATGGCCACATTGACACCCCTTGGTCTCATGAAGCCTAGTAGTTTGTCCACGTTGGTTTTCCTTCCATTTGTTTGGATCCCTGGTCCACGATGCATGTATGTGTCCTGCAGGGCTGGGACAGCAGTGCCCATTTATGACTCTGCTTGGTGGACCCATGCATTTAGGTTCTGGCTCTCCCCTTCCCCCTCCTTACTCCAGGAGACTACAAGCTTCTTGAGGGAAAGGGATGTTCATGTCACCATACCCCAGAATTAGAGCGACTGGGCTCCGTCAGCAGAGTGTTTGGGTTCACCAAGTGTCATGGGACTGAACTCGTCACTCAGGTGATAATAGGTGGAATTCACGGCAATCCAAGGGCCCTCCTAAGACATTTGCTAATTGCTACCAATTCAGCTGTATGCAGACCAGAGCGCAGGCATCCAGAAAGAACTGGCTCTACTTGCCGCCTTACCCAGGCACAGGGACTTTCCTCTGCCACAAAGGAGAAGGCACACTCCAGCCCTGTCTCCTGGTTTCAGTAAAAAGTAGGGGCAGAGGCCAGAGCCCGAATCTATAGCTGCTTTCTGACTCATTAATCCCTTTTCTATTAATCCACTTTAAGCAAATGTTTAACTGATGAGAACGATCCTCTTTTTTGGCCTGCCTGAGTGGCTATCTTTATAAAAAAAGGCAAGTTTCCTCATAAAATAATGACATTTCACTAATCTTAGAGCATAAATCACAGAGATGAATGGGGACTTGAAGATCATCTAGTCCAAGGGTTGGTAAACTCTTCCTTCCTTTTTCCTTTTTTTTTTTGTTTTGTTTTGTTTTGTTTTGGGTAAAGGGCCAGAAAAGAAATATTTTAGTCTTTGTTGGCCCTACAGTGTCCCTGGCAACTACTCATTGCTGCCGTAACATCATGACAGCAACCACGGATGACACCAAAACAGACAAACAAAGAGACGCAAAATGACTGGGCTTCACTAAAGTGTTAGTTACAGGGACAGGTGGCAGGCCAGATTTGTCCTGTGAACCACAGTTTGCCAACCGCCGATCCAGTCCAGCCCTTTCATTTCTGAGATAAGGAAACTGAGCCCAGAAAGCTTACCTGACTTGCCAATTTCACACAGCTGGCAGAAAGCAGAGCCAGGAGTAGAATTCCATTTTCTTAAGTCCCAGTCCTGTCATTTTCACACCCGTGCGTGCCACCTCTAACCTGTCGTCATTTCGTACCCCATAGATGGATCCGAAAACACAAACTCCCATGTCAGAGATGTGACGATCTCCCTGAATGCTTGTAAAAACCCACAACAAGCTGGTACAATACACGAATCCAAGAGGACGTGATTCTGACGGACTAAGCTACAGCTAGGGCTGCCTCTCCCACGTATCGTGCAGGTATCAGCGTACTATGTACACCCAGAAATGCCCCTGACTTAGTATCTCTCTCTTCTTGAACCACAGGTCTTGTCTTGCTGCAAAGCTTCTTCCTGTATGGGAGAAACTTCTTTCTCTGCCGCATGGTGGGAGGAGGGGAGGGAGAGTGTGTGTGAGGTCTCCTCTTTGGAGTCCTTGAAACCCAAATCCTTACCTGACACTTAATGCCTGCCAGGCTGCAGGTACACGTTTCTGGATCACAGAACACTCGGCAGTCGCAGCCGCAGTCCTCTCTCGACAGGCGGATGGCGCGCAGCTCATGCTTTTCTTCCACATCAATCTTTTTCACCCCCGAGGCCCGCAGCAGTGCTCTCCTTTTCTTCGTCGGCAGGGGTTGTAGAAAGAAGTATTCGTCTACCTCCGTGTTGTCTAAATCAATATCGTCATCCGAAATGTCATCCACGGTAAGAGTGCTCGCCTCTTCAGATTCCACTGTGCCGTTCTTGGTCATCTAGAAACACGAAGCAGCAAACGGACTTAGCATCGGCAGGGTCTCAAATCCCGACTTCGATGCTTAAAACTATTATAAAACATCATGTCCCATAATCCAGAGTGTCTGTGGGTCCTATTATTTCCATTTATTTTTCTCTTTGGAGAAGTCGCAGGAAAGAAAAAGGAAGGCATCAAAATGATAGGCTTTTACATGCACTGGTAACTGAAGACTTAATTGGAACTCTTAACCCCGTAATGTAAGGAGTTAGAGTTTTTAGCCAGTGCGATGTGAAAAAGGCCAAAGGTGACCATGCCCATCAGTGAAAGCTATCTTTAGACTCAGTTCGTGATGGGCAGCTCTGATGGTGGAATAAATGTGTCCTTGTTCAGAGGTGACAGCATCTGAGCAGAAGCCACCCCCGCGTAAATCAGCAAACATGTCCTTGAAATAATCACTCTGTCTTTTGGGACGCGGGCAAAACCATGAACTAGGAAATAACATCGTGCTGCACTGTGCTGTTGGGACTACAAACATGGTTACCCTACAGAACATTCCAAGAATGAGGGCTGGATATGAAGTAATCAGTCAGGCCAGTGTGCTGTCAGAAAGATGGGGAATAGAGGGCAGCGCTGGCAGGCTCTCGCCAACGGGCAGCCAAACAATAAACCCAGCCCTCAGAGGACTTCACCTGAACCTGTGCCCCAAGCAATAGCGTCTGTGTCATAGCTCCTGTGGACAGTTACGTCTCATCTACTTACGACTATGTGCTTCTATTTATATTTCTTTCTAAATTAATTTCATCCATCAGTAAACCCTGAGTCAGTAGCTCACTTCTTACTGTTACACCAGCACATATTATGTTTCCTTCATAAAAAAGCACTGAGAGGCGTTTTCTCTGAGTATGAGCAAGGAACCCATCCTGAGAAGCAGCACAGGAATAAATGTAGAACCTCCGTTAGGGCCTGCTCTAAATATAGACACCGTTTTGATTCTTTAATTTGTAAAGTTGTTACTTCATAAACTTCATTAATTGTAATTATTACCAGGCTATTTAAAAAAAAATATTTATTTGATAGAGAGAGCCGGGTGGGGGAAGGGGGGGGCGTGGAGGCAAAGGGAGAAGCAGACTCCTCGCTGAGCAGGGAGCCCAATGTGGGGCTCAATCCCAGGACCCGGAGATATGACCTGAGCTGAAGGCAGACGCTTAACCAATGGAGCCACCCAGGCACCCCCGTGCTATTTTTTTTTATCTTAATAACAGTTCAGTTACTACACAATTAAAATACTCAGACATCAGACTTCATTCTTTGATCTTCGTAGGAGAAAGTCCAACATTTAGATAAAAATATTTATTATTGACCAAAACCTCAAACGGAAAACTCTGAATACATTGGAAAACAAATAGAAGACTGGTCTTCACTCTCAAGAAGAGGAAACAATACAGTAGGAAGTGTACATTAAAATGTATTACAGAGGGCCTCTGAACTGCATTTTCAAGAGCCACTAAATTATATTTTTTTAATAATTCAGAGCCTTAAGTCTGTGTTCTTGCAACAATGGGCCTTCCCCTTTATGGGGTTTTGCTTCTCAGTGGGATCTGCAATGCATTTCCTTTGTTGGCATTTCTTTATGCCGTATTGGCTGACCTGTTTCCACGTTTCTGTGATGTCCACTACTAGGATGTTACTTTGATTGATTGCTGTTATCATTTTTGTTAATTCTCATTTGCTCATAGAAGCATAAGCATCTTTCTATCTGTGAAGATCTGATTTTCCAGGAAATTCAGGTGTGTAATTACCTAGCACATACTCAATCCTCTGTGATAGGTAAAGCTGCACTAACAAATAGGAAGCATTACCTTTCCCACCTTGTCACCTTTGTGGCATTATGATTTGTTTTCATTAATTCTTGACCTATGTGAGCTGTGTCAAGGTCTGACTCCATAGCTCACACAGAACAGCCAGGACTTGGAGAGCATGGTTCATTTTTAATATTTCTTTCTACTTAATCTCCATGTTCTATATTTATGCTCCCTCAAGCAACCGGTAACATCACAAAACAAAACTCTCCATTTTATATCAACAGGGCTTGATTTCAAAAAAAAAAATAAAATAAAAAGCTACTCACATATTAGTGAAAATTGTTAGGGAAATATGAATTACCAATTGGCATCTAAAAACTTTAAAAAAAGCTACCTCAAATAAATTAGAGATGATGCTTATTCCAAATATAAGTGCTCTTAGAAATACAATCTGCACCTCTTATTCCCACATATTTAAATTACGATAAACAATTTCATTTCAAGATAAAAATTCAATTAAGAATCTAAAAACTCTTCACGCAGAGCTCCATACTGTTTTCATTCTTGTTTTAGGAACCCGCCAGGGGCCTAATCCAGATTGCAAAATCTCACGTTAACATTGAGGTGATCTGGCAAGGTTTCCTCTTCACCTCCCCACTAACACTTTTGCCATCATTTTTAAAGTTTTATTTATTTATTTATTTTATTTGAGGAAGAATGCAAGCAGGGGGAGGGGCAGAGGGAGTGAGAGAATCCCAAGCAGACTCACTGCTGAGGGCCGTGCCTCATGTGGGGCTCGATCTCAGGATGCTGAGATCATGACCTGAGCCGAAATCAAGAGTCAGATGCTTAACCAACAAGCCACCTAGGCACCCCTCATCTCTGCCATTTCTTTCTTTCTTTCTTTCTTTTTTTTTTTTAAGATTTTGTTTATTTATTTGACAGACAGAGATCACAAGTAGGCAGAGAGGCAGGCAGAGAGAGAGAGAGGAGGAAGCAGGCTCCCTGCTGAGCAGAGAGCCTGATGCGGGGCTCGATCCCAGAACCCTGGGATCATGACCCGAGCCGAAGGCAGAGGCTTTAACCCACTGAGCCACCCAAGCGCCCCATCTCTGCCATTTCTAATGAAGACTGGAAATATTTGTGTTCATCCTAGTCAGTTGCCTTTTCTCCCCTTCCTCACAGTTTCTGGTGTGGTAGCCACTGAGAGAGATTCTTTACCTCCCCGGTCCCTCCTGCAGTCTGTGCCCATTTGTTCCTTTAAAACCCAGGCCAAACCTACTAACTTTAAATGCTATTTAAAATCAGTGCATTACATAGATTATTTTCAAAAGCATCTTATATTAGGGCAATAGGGAAAAAAATCAGTGAGCATAACTCATATCCATCATGCTCTCAAGATCTGGCCCAAAGAAGCCAGAAAGTCTTCAAGATTGCCTCACCTACTTCTCCTGACTTCTTTACTCTACTACCCATCTTCACAAGAAATTCATTTTGTACATTTCTTTCTCTTCCCCCCAAATTTATTGAAACATAATTGACATATGACATTGTGTAAGCTTAAGTTGTATGTGTCGATTTAATACACTTATATACTGTGGAATGATCACCACTGTAGCATTAGCTGTTCTTACCATCGTACCACATAATGACCACTTCTTTTTTGTGATGGCACCATTTCAGATGCACTCTCTTGACAACCTTCAAGTGTGTAACACAGTATTGTAAGCCACAATCACCATGCTGTACATGAGCTCTCCAGAACGTATTCATCTTGTAACTGTAAGTTTATAGCCTTTGACCAACATCTCCCCATTTCCCTTACTTTCCAGGTCCTGGCAACCACTATTCTACTCTCTATTTCTAGGAGTTCTGCTTTTTTAGGTTCCACATATCAGTGCTGTTAGACTGCATTTGTCTTTCTCTGAGTTACTTCACTTAGCACAATGCCTTCAAGGTCCATCCGTTTGTTGCAAATGGCAGGATATCTCATGGTTGGATAAGATTCCATAAGATCCTTATATAATATTTATCTCTCTGTCAACATGAGTGCTACCTTTAAATGTCTTTTCTCTATCTCAAAATAGATTCATTGAATTCTCAGGCTTCAGTTCATCAGATGGTCCTTCCTTATTTTATACAGTAATGAGGTCCAGATTAATTGTGTGACCTCTCCAAAACATGCTTTAGTACTTAATTCCCTGACCCCTATTTAATATGCTTTTCCCTGTACTTCTAGGTTCCAAGTTTCTGATGGTAGACAAGGCAGTGCTAGAACTTGTACATAAAATTAAACACAATATATCCAAAAACCTATCCTGTTTATAAAAAAAATGCATACCAAAAAAAAAAAATGCATACAGATTAACGAGCACATTCAAAGGAATGCTCTTTTTTGAGATAGATACCTTAGAAGAGAGTCTGGGATGTGGACCACTTCCATTTCAGTAACTCTTTTCCCAAAGTAATGTTGGGAACAAGAACTAAAAAAAAACAAAACAACAACAACAACAAAAACCCCAAAACCCAAAAAACAAAACAAACAAAACAAAACAAAACAAAACTTGCCAAAATGTGGTTTAATTACACTGTGGTTAACTACCAAATAATGCTGGTCCTCAAACCTGCTTTTGCTTCTGTGTGCATGTGTGTGTAAAAGGAGAGAGAGAGGGCTTGAGCTGAGGATGAGAGGGAGGTGGGAGAGAGATGGGATGAGAGCAACGATATTAATAAGAGCAGTTTTTGACTCTGAGTGCCTGGTGTTGCTCTAAGCACTTTACCTGCATGAACTCATTGAGCATCACAAAAACTCATTAGGTAGATATTATTGTACTTATTTAGCTGATGCGGAAACTGAGGCACAGGGTGCTAAATAACTTGTCCAAGGTCACAAGAAATAGGGTGGGCAGCAAGTCACAAACTTAGATATTTGACTCCACAGCTTGCGCTCTTAATTGCCACGATATTACATATATACACTTACATATAATATATACTATATATACACTTATATATATACTTTTATATATTAAAGTATATTGAATAGTCTTTGTGCTTACTTAGTGTGTAAGCATTAGCTATGTCAGAGCACAAGATGCAGGTGTTGATCTCAATGGGTTGGAGGAAAGAGATGAGGAATCTAGTAATTTTAATCCAGTTCATAGGAATTTTCTAGCTGAGAGTGAAAACAGGGCACCTAGTGGGGGGCTGGCGGTGG